CTTGATATATAAAGTGACAAAAGAAACTGGGGCTAGAATTCAAATTATTAATAAAAGAGATTTTGAAAGGTTTATTAAGGATTATAATCAAGCTACTAATAAAGAAAAGAAAATGTTTATTAATATTCAAATGTGAAATAAAAGTAATACAAAAAACGATTATGCAAATCGGTAGCTTAATTTATTATTTTTTTAAAAATTTTCTTTTTCTTATTTAATTTATTAATTATTTTATTATTCTAGAGACCCGAGGAATCTAATAATGATGACGATAATTCAAATAAAAAAAAGCTATAATTATTTAGTAAAAAACCTAAAGAATCTCATCTTGATAACGAGAGACGTATTATGGCATCTACTATTGCACAAATCCGTAAAAAATATTTTTATGCTAATTGTGAAGATTCTTGTTAGGTTACTCAAACTGGTCATGTTAAATTAACAGGTATGCATTATATGATATAGGCTCGAGCAATCATAAGAATTATAATTTTTATATTTATTTTGGGTGCTCTCAAGTATTTTTTTAAAATAATCAGCTAGTAAATTAGTTCATATACAAGACTACGAGCAATTCTTGAATGTGTGCTAGGTTTGTGGCACAGTTAAAATTCTTCAAAGTTCGTTTATGTTAAGATTAGAGCTTTTATTGTAGTTAGAGGTTAGAAAATTTAAAGTAAAATTACTCAAGGAAAACTTTGTTAGTGCAAGAAGAGTAGTTTGATATGTAAATTTTCAAAAGATAAGCGATTTTTGACAAAATCAACGTTCATTTAAATTTTTGTTTATGTCACATTACACCTAATTGTGAAATCTGATTTGTGTTCAGGCAATCTGCTCTACAAATCTAGCACACATTCAAGAATTGCTTTGAAAGCATCCTTATACTTACTGCTGTTGCTATTTCTTTATATTACCTAGAGTGTAAATTATGTTAAAATTATAAAATTTTTGATTATAGATGAATGGATTAGCAGATATTAACATGCCACCAAGCTATGCAATACTTTGCCATCTAAAACAAGAGAGATGCCTAGTTTGAATCATGCATTATCTAATTGTCCACAATTATTAGTTAATTTGTCATTACAATTGCTATCGCAAATGCTATTACAATCGTCATTACAACCACTTCCACAATCACTTCCGCAAGCACCCTTACAAGTAACTTCACAAATACCTTTACAAATAAATGATTTTTCATCACAACCATTAAATAATTTTTTTTTAAATTCATCGAATGTTCTCTTACAAATGTTGCCAAATGTTCGCTTACAAATATCATCAAATATTCTCTTACAAATGCCACCAAATATTCTCTTACAAATGCTGCCAAATATTTTCTTACAAATATCACCTTTATATACACTATCTTCTCAATTATTGCCTAATATATCTTCACAACCTTATTTCATGCCACTTTCGATTTTTTCTAATCTACAACCTTTATATGCTTCAACAAATAATTTGATGTCATGAGAATTATCAGCAACTTATTTAAAATCTGCTCCTAAACTTGATAAATTTTTAACAAAAATAGACGAAGCTGAGAATGCAAATAGTAAAATTTTAGCTTGTTTATCAAAATTTCAAGACCAAGCTATTCAAGTTAAATGGATATGTAAATTAACTGATGAACAACTTGATTTACTTGGAATTACAAAAACAGGATGAAAAATTGCATTGTGAGAGGCTTCTAAAGAGTATGGCTAACTATATAAAAAAGATGCACAAGATATCTAATATAATAACTAGATATTTGAATTGCTTAAAGGGAGCTAGAGTATATTGCATTTAGTAAATATATGTGTTGTTGTGCTATTGGGTATATGATATATAACCGATTATTCAATAAGATCAATATATTTCTAGTGTTATATAAATTTTTAATATTGCAATTTTTTATCATTTAAGTAGCTGCACAATATAGTTGTGTAAATTCAGAAAAGGAGAAATATTTTCATGTAAGAATAAAAAGCGAACTTGAAATTAAACTTAAAAAGTGCATATATAAGGCTATGCAAAGTTGATTTTTTATTTTGCATTACATGGATTTCAAAATTTCCAGTCGGTCAGTCAGATTTTTTTTTAAAAAATCTACAGTGAAATAATATACTCATGCTCACATCGAAGGCTACACAAAGTTAGCTTTTCACTTTATATAACATGAAATCAATAAATTGGGCTGATAGTCAAATTTTTTTCTATCAGTTCTATCAAATTATTTTAGGAAAATTAGATCACTATTGAGTGATATCAGATTAAGTTATGGAAAAAATTTAAATGGCAAAAATGGAATAATTGGCACGATTGGGGTTTAAAAAAAAAAATTAAAAATTTGAAAAAAATTGGTTGGCAGGTAATGCAAAATGAAAAATCAACTTTGCATAGCCTAATGCTAAAAACTTGTCATAATTGTAATGGACTATAATTTTTTTTGGCATAATGACCAGAAGTTTTCTAGACTGCAATAGGCAAGCCTACAAAATAAGTGATTGTGGGGTAATTAATTGCAATTAACTCACAATTGTCATTAATACTTATCAATTGTAAAATTTTTTGGCAAATGCAATTTTAGGGAATATTATGCTTCATATTGTAATCATTACTGAGAATACAAATAATAAAATATAAAGGTAAGCCAATTTACATCTAACGGTGAATAGGATGATAATATTAAATATTTGGTAAATAGGCATATCTTTTATAACTCGTAAAGCCCTAATTGAGCAGTATATCACTATACGGCAAAGTATTAAAATTGAAGTGATGCAATGAAAAGCGATTCAGTTAAAGGTGATAATATTAAAGAGATGATCATTTATTGAGCAGATCATGTAATTTCATGGATATTAATATCTGTAAGATCCTATGTATAATAGATTTTGAAACAATGCTGGTATTATAACCAGAGAAAGACTTTATACCTGCACTCTCAATTTAGCTCAGGGTCATTAGCATTAAAATAGAGAACCAAGTATTTATTATCATATACAAGGCACTAAAATATACTAATAATATATCCAATATAAGTAAGTATCTTCAAAATAGTGTACTCAGTATACTAAGGAACCTTCCAAAATACTAACACAAAAATCTATAACTCATAAAAATTAAACTAACCAGTGTTCTACAACTCTCTATTTATATTGTCTATTAAACTCTAATTAGCTATTATGCAAAATATAAAGTATAAGCTAATTCTATAAACTATTGTAATAATCGACAAAGTATAATGTAGTAATTACTTCGATCAATACTTAATTACAGGATATGCTATTATAATATTACACAAAGAAAAAGTATAATTGTTAACTTTGATATGTTATTTTTCGTAATACTGGTAACTGGCCATAAGTCTCATTCTTTAGCACAATCTCTACAAGTAATCAACATGAATAGCAATATTTGATTCCTCAATCATTATAGAATCCAAGTCTTAATAAGCTAAATCGAAGTTGCAAGTCAATTTATCCATCAAATTGAGTCTCAAATGGGGGTTTATTAAAGTTACAAGTCGAATTCAAAAATAGATCTCAAGAAAAATTTAGTTAAGTTTTGTATTTTACTTGTCATAAGCATATAAATAACTCTATATAAAATAATCAAAAATTAAGTCTTATTCTTTACCACAATCTCAACAAGTAACAATTAAGTCTAATTCTTTACTACAATCTCCACAAGTAAACAATGTGAATAGTACTATTTATTCCACAATCATTATAGAATCCAATTCAGTCCATCGAATTGAGTCTCGAATGGGTTATTAAGGGTAGAGTATATGTAGATCATTTATCATATGATCTGCATGGCAAATTTTTTTTGTGTAACAAATTACATAGT